TTTGCAACCATAGTAAAACAAAGACTTATATTTTTGATATTTATTTTATATATTTAAATGCCATTTAACAAAGAAAAATCAACCAAAAAAATGCATTCGCGTGTCACCTCTGACACGCGTGTCATAGGTTCGCCATCACTGATCTATGATGAGAAAGAATCACTGATTGGCTACATCTGAATATCTCCCACTAGGGATTGAGCCAGCAACCCAGGCATATGCCCTTGGCTGGAATCGAAGCTGGGACCCTTCAGTCCGCAGGCTGACGCTCTATTCATTGAGCCAAGCCAGCTAGGGCAGCACACCCCTATTTTTGAGGGCCCTGAATGGGGCCACATTCACTGCAGCAGTGAAAACCAAGATGCTCCAGTCTGCCCCCAGCACCTGGTAAGGGATGCAGGTATCCACTGTGAGCCGGTCATGGGATGGATCAGTCCTGAAGAACTGACATGTGGCCGTATTCAAATGCACAAGAGCTTTAAGAGGAGAAGCTTACATATGTGGGCAAAGCAGCTGCTTGCTTGCAGTGGTGGCAGCCGGGGAGAAACCCACACCTTCCCGGGACAGGATTCCCCCGCCCCTCCCCCCCCTTTTAAAAAATCCTATCATAGGAAGATATGCTTTTATAAGTTTTATTTATTCATGTATTTATGTAAATATGTTTTTATTGATTTTTAGAGAGAGAGTAAGGGAGAGGGATAGAGAGATAGAAACATTGATGTTAGAGAAACATCGATTGGCTGCCTCCAGTATGCCCCCATTGCGGATTAAGCCTGTAACCTGGGCATGTACCATGACCGGGAATCCAACCATGACCCCCTGGTCATATACTGATGCTCAACTAACACCATCAGCTGGGTGAAGGGTTTTGTTTTTGTTTTTTTCTCACTAGAGGATATGTTTTCATTGATTTTTTTTTTTGAGACAAGAGATTGGAAGAGAGAGAAACATTTATCTCTTGTCTCCCATACATCCCCGACTGTAGATAAAACCTTTTGTTGCACAGGATCATGCTCCAACCAACTGAACCACCCGACCAGGGCAAGAACGAGGTTTTGTCCTTCCTGGTTTGGTTCAGTTGTTAGAGTTTCGGCCTACAGACCAACGGGTGTGTGGTTCATTTCCTGGTTAAGGACATGTACCTCAGTTGCAGGCTCAGTCCCTGGCCCTGCTCACGGGGCTTGTGAGAGGCAATGAAGGGATGTGTCTGTCTCACATGGATGTTTCTCTCTCTCTCTCTCTCTCCCTCCTTCCTTCCCTCCCTCCCTCCCTTCCACTTTCTCTTCTCCTTCCCTCCAGTTATCAGGAAGGACTGCAACACATTGTCAATTTAATTTTCCTGAGTACAACTGATATTACTTTAT